AAATTTTATCAGGACAAACGTTGGCCTATGCAACACTACCAACCCCACCCCATTTGCGTTTCTTTGGCTAAGGATTAGAAATATTCACACTAAGATCAAGTCCTTAGGGCCATCACACAAGACATGTACTTAGCAAAGGCAGCACTAAGATATTGTCCTTAGTTGCAAAATTAAGCCCTATAGCTAGCACAATCTAGCAAGCAATCCTACTTGTCACACACAAGTTTCTTGCACACAAAGTAGCACTAACTTCTAAGGTAGAACAAGTAAGCAAGTCATAAAGAAGGCAAAGAGACAACTATATTTACGCCATTCTATCAGTTGTCAAACACAACCCCTAGTTCATTATTTGTAGTTTTTTGGTTTCAGCTCTAACTTGTCCATATGAGCTCCGATTGAAGCAAAACTTATTCCGTTAGACTATTGCTGCACAACCAACCTCTTTGGGGGTATTTATGCCATCATCCACGTGGCGGTATCCAATTCAGTGTGTTATCATGTTCTCTAAGTCGATTTAGAGCGTCATACATGTTTATGATAAAAATGGTCTTGTCATTAAACTAATGGTGCTTTTTGCTGCTTTGTCATAGAAACGACAACATTTTTCTCATTGAGGCGTTATAGATAGGTACTATGATGAATATAACTCTGTTACTAACACTCTGACAGTTTATGATTGTCATAGAAATCCCCTTTTTTGTAGTGTTTTATCTAATTTAAGTTGTTGGGATGTATAGGGATGGGTTGAGATGATTCGTAGTTTGTCTAAATTCAAACTATTTAATGGCATAGAAAAGAACAGTGATTTTTATGATACCAAATTATCATAATTAGGCCCGTTATGAAATATTTTTTTTTATAGTTATACTTCTTTGCTGGAGTTCATGTAAATATTATTCTCTATAAATTTGATACTTAAAATATAGTTTGTCCTAGGATAAACTGAAAACTCTCTGTATTTCATGATAGAAGTAGTAGTTATTACTTGCGAACCAAGTGTGATCGGCACTGACTGGATTAATACCCCCAACTTACTACAAATGTCAGCTGCTGCTGCGGCATACCATATTATGGTGGCCAAAGCCACATAAGTGCATGGAATGGAGAATTTTTCACGATAATTTTGCCAATGTCAAGAAACAATTAAATTACTTCTGGGATGTGGAAAGGTTGCATTGTCGTGTCATAAATGATACAACCACATTTGTTTCTTAGTCATCATTGTTCGCTTGTGAAGCCAAAGTCAAGAACACAAGTGGTGACTGATGGGTTTCGATGTCCCTGATTTCGACGTTCCATCCTCCCTGCCTTGATGTTTTGCTTGATAGCAAATATAGTAACCGCTTCAAACTATAGTTTGTTTTAGTTTTATCTTAATCCTTAATGAAGTCTAACTTTCTTTAACATTAGCAAGTTTTTAGAAAAAAACTATTTAAGTTCACAATTTGAAATAAATACACTGTCAAAACACATTGCATGAAAAATTTAATGAAGCTAATTTGATGTTGTAAATGTGTGGTTACATTTTCTATGGATTTAATTTGGACAAAGCTAAACAAGTTTAATTTGATACAAAATCAAAATGAATGATAATATTGAACAGAGGAAGCATAAAACTTGTAATTAAATTATAGAATCTTGGCATATATACCAACAGAGAACACCACTTATTTTTGATTATTTAGTTAAGAAATGCACATCAGAGTATTCGATTTCTTGTTTCCTACTTTCCTAGTATCAGATAGGATCACAAGAGCCTCGTTGATTTGGATGGTGAGAATGAGAACTGAGAACACGCTGGAAATCTGAGGCTCCCCAAAAGGATCACAAGACCTGAGGTTGGTGCTATGTGGTCACCGAGAGCTTTTCTTTTTCGTTCTTAAATTTGCAAGGTTTTCAGCTTGTTACCCACAAATTTGCATCATGAATATTTTTTTTGTGCTATTAAAAAATTCAGTAACTTCTGGATGAATATGTTGGTTCTAGATATTTCTAGGGAGCAAAGAAAGTAAATATTGAGCAGTACCTATCGATAAACCCTCAATACGAATTCTATTGTAATCACTAACACTAATCAGTTAAATCCCTGCAAAAATACGGAATGATTACCCTGTCCTAAACAAAGATGTCGGCATCTGGTTTTAGTCACTTCTAGTCACTGTTTTGTGATGTACATAGGGCACAAGAAGTCATTTAATAACGCATGTGGTGGTTGGGTACTTGAGTTTGAGTTGCCAGTGATTGTGACGTTCCGTTACTTCTTCTGTTCTTCATACCGACCCTAGTGTACTATATGATGATGTTGTTCAGGACTTCAACACAAAGGTACTGTATACTTATAGCTGTTCGTTAGCATCAAATCCGCCAAGCCAAGGATGGCGAGGGCTTTACTCCACACCTGCCGAATGAAGGGGCAAATTAAAAAATGACGGGAGAGTGAGAGTAGCTAGACATGTCGTTGAGGACAACTAACCAGCCAAACTCTACTGTACAGCAGCTCCAGTCCTCTCCCCATCTCATCAGGGAGTAGATACAAGATACCGAAGATATCTCTCTACTCATTCTCAAGTGCTGTACGAGCACCAATTATCAAAATGATCGCTGCTTCCTAGCTAGAAGTACCAGTTAGTGGCAAGAAATCAGTAATGCATGCCATGTGGTGATTGGACTTCAATCAATGCCGGTCTTCTTGACGTTGTCGCGTCCATTCGCCCTCGGTAGCTAGTCCCTACTGTACTATGAAAATGTTGTTTACTAAGAAATTAAAATGTTGTCTAGGAGACATTGACACATTCGTACACACCATTTTTATTTATTTAAGAAATAATGATGAAAGTGTAGGTGACACATCCACATTATTTGATTTGGATAGTGGTTTCAGTAAAAGATAGAGGGTCATTCTAGATGGTGGGGTTTATTTGGGTTGAAATCCTCGTGGTCTCAAATGATTTCCGAAGCAGTTCACCTCTCTCCAAACAAGACCAGAAATAGGTGCTATGTGTATGTGGTTGCCTGCCGAGAATTTTCCTTCCGATTCTTGTATGTATGTGTTGATTATTACAAGGCGTAAAGTACCAGCAACGAGAGTTACGCAGCAGGATTAGAGCATCATCTGTGTTTTCCTGTTCCTGCAAATTCAGTAATTCCTATATTACCCGGAGAGAGTAATATTAAGCAGCTATGATTGAAAAGAAGATATCATGATCATAAGTTGAGAAAAGCGAGCAAATAGATGTGGGGAGAGAGAGGCTAGACATGTCGTTGAGGAGCAACCAAACTCTCCTACGCAGCTTCGGTCCTTTCCCCATCTCGCTCGTCATGTACAGAAGATAAAAAGAGGGTGTGGACGATGGCGAGAAGAAGCATATAAAAGGTGGGCTGGTCAGTGACTAGTAGCCTAGTAGGTGGAGAACCCTTGTTTAATTTTTGACACAATACTACTCGTGCTAATGATGGGGGAAGCAAGGTAAGATCGGGCGTTAACATCAGGTGATGACTTTATAAGGTGGCAGGTCTATGGAGGCAGCTGCAAGGAAATGACCAAGCAGCAGATCGCTTGCTTACAGCACAAGTAAGCCTCTGGGTGGCGTTCCCTCTGACTAGAGTTTGAATTCATGGTTAGACAAATTTTTGGTCGGCGGTGCGGAAAAAAACCCTCTTCGTCTGTCTCACGTTCCCAAAGCATATATAAAATGGACTGGCCCTCCCACCGGATAACGGGCCCTGTGTGCGGGTGACTAAAATAGCTCAACGGTGTCTACCCCGTAGCCTGAGTTTTTGTTTTAAGACGTTAGGCCATTTCTCATTGAAAAGTTTCATAGCATTATTCTAAAAGAACATATAAACATAGATAAAAAAATAACTTTTAATATATAATTTTTTATTTAATAGATATTTAATTTTAAGACTTATCTAAAACTGGAAACCAAGCTGAGAGTGTTTCGTCTAAGTAAAACTCATTTTTTCACTTCTTCTTAAAGACATTGTCATGTTATATAACCGTTCGTTAGCATCAAATCCGCCAAGCCAAGGATGGCGAGGGCTTTACTCCACACCTGCCGAATGAAGGGGCAAATTAAAAGAGCAAGACGTGATCAATCTCTTCACTGTCCAACTCGCATAGCACGCAAGTCGACGTTTCCTGCAGCCCATGGCGATGTCTTCGCGTTACGCCTGGGCAGTTTCGTGGCCGCGCGGCTGCGCCGTCGTCGTCACTCGTCAGAGCTCGCCGTCCTCAGCTGCTTGCCGACCTTGGCCACAGTGACCCAGTCACCGCATCGGCGTTCCTTCCATTGGTGGAACTCGAGGAGAAAGAGAGAGACGGTCATTTGTATCGTACCCCCACTGCAAACTCTTGAAAGAGACCGTTCCATATTCGAAAGTTTCGTTAAAAAATGACGGGAGAGTGAGAGTAGCTGGACATGTCGTTAGACAACTAACCAGCCAAACTCCACTGTACAGCAGCTCCGGTCCTCTCCCCATCCCATCAGGGAGTAGATACAAGATACCGAAGATATCTCCCTACTCATTCTCAAGTGCTGTACGAGCACCAATTATCAAGGTATGATCCAACAGGCATCACACAAGACGACTTAACTCTGCTTCGTTATATTGTATATATAACCGTCCCCCATCCTCGGCAGAGGTACTCACTCCTCACCTCTCTTGCTCATCGCCAGCTCCCATAGCTGAAAGGTAAGCTCAAATCCTTCAACTTTCCTTTCACTGCTGCTAGATAGCTGCTGCATTCAATTCGACGCATATTACTCGGGTGGACCAACATTGAATTCTAGTTTCTCTACTATAGTTTGATATATAGAAGTTATGTTGTAGCACTCGTGTTTGTTACCCAGAAAAAGAAGCATTTCGTTCAGCTAGCTCGTTACCAAACAGCGGAGAGTAAACTAAGGATGACTGAGAAGAAGAGATTCATGGCGCATGTTTTTTTGGGGGTGTATCTTTTTCGTCGTTAAAACATACTTAGTTTTTCACTTGAAAGGATGGCAGGATATGTGCTGATGCTCTGCTACTTTCTGTTCGGCAATACGCCACTATTTGTTTCACATGTTTATTTGCAGATGGGTATACTGGTGATTACGGTGGACCTAGAATGCTGTCGCTGCAGAGCCAAGATCACCAAGGTCCTGGACTGCCTCAAAGGTACATTTTTTTTACTATGTATATATAAAGATGGGAATACTTCCATGATGCAATTGCAGATAGATATGTATAATACAACAATTCTTATATATGGAAAGATCAATAAAATAGTTGCACTGCAAACTAATTTTCCGCTGAAAGCAGAGTACGAGTATGAACAATCGTTTTTATAAGAGACTGATATCATCCAAGGGGTAGTGCAATGCATTTTTCGCCAAACAAAGAAAGAAAGAAAAGAACGTTGGGGGTTACCAATTTTGCACAGGAAAGTTAGACGGTAACACAAATTTAATCTTGACCAGGTTTGCAAGATTCTTCTAAAACCACATGATCGATCTGAATCTGAAAACGTTTTAGCAAACACCGTCTAGGCATAATATGATACGTGAAAATCACCTAATAATCCTGCGGTTAATAAAATAAATAATCATAATTAAGAGAGCAACTACTAGTTTACGAGGCTGAATTCTGATCTGCGTGCTTGCAACAATAAACCGGTCAATTATCATTTTTTCTTAATTGACGCAGAGGAGTTCTGCATCGAGAAGGTGGAGTTCGAGGACAAGAAGGAGAAGAAGGTGGTGGTGGTGCGCGGGAAATTTGACGCCGAGAAGCTCTGCAAGAAGGTCTGGTGCAAGGCCGGGAAGGTCGTGAAGGACATCGTCATCGCGGAGGTGTGGCCAATGCCACCGCCACCCAAGCCATGCACTCCTTGCAAACCAAAGCCAGAGGAATCCAAGCCCAAGGCTGAGGATCCCAAGCCTGAGAAATGCTGTGTCTGTGACCACTGCAAGCCCAAGCCTGAGAAATGCTGTGTCTGTGACCACTGCAAGCCCAAGCCTAAGCCTGAGGAAAAGCCTAAGCCGGAGCCGCCCAAGACAGAGTACAAGTTCGTGCCGTACCCGTACCCGGTGCCAAACCCCGTGATGTGCCAGAGATGGCCATGGCAGTGCCCTCCTCACCAGCAGTGCCAGTGCTGCGAGAAGCAGCAGCCTCCTCCTCCTCCTCCTCCTCCTCCTCCGCCGCCGCCGCCGCAGCGGCCAACGTGCAGCTGTTCGAGCCACGCCAACTGTGGCTGCGGCCAGACACCACCGGCCTGGCCACCGCAGCCGCCGGTCTGGCCGCCCCCGTGGGCCGGCTGCAATGTCGTCACCGATGAGAACTCCTGCTCTGTCATGTGATCCATGGCTACTTGCTTATCGTCACCTGTCTCTGTTGCTGTGCTGTGATTAGTACCGGACCCCGGATATCTGAATAATCCGACACTGCACAGGACGCAGATGTGCTTGGGTCTATCCTGTGCAGTGTGTTATACGAACGTGTCATGCCTTATTTTGTACGGTAGTAGTTGTGTAGCTTCCAACTATAATTTACCCTTTGTAATGTGTATATTCATGTCTTTGTACGAGTTTCGTCGCAATTGTGAAATTTCCAACTAGAATTTGCTGAGCTATGTGGTGTAAGAATTTGCGTAGCTCCGCTCCCTGGAAATTCAAGGCTCTGTCACTGGATGCAGTTTCGTGGTTACATTACTTGGGATACTAATAACTCACAGGTCAAGATCGACAAGAATCATGTGTGGAATCAAGGAGTCAAATTAAAGGCGTGCACATAAATTGTCTCGTTGGTAAATCTTTTTTTTTTGCAAACTTGTCCTTGTGACATGTATTTCATTAAGTAGAAGCAGAGTTTAAGTGGAATCATGTGTGGAATCAAGTAGAAGAAGAGTTTAAGTGGTTACAACCATCCTAGGTAATCTAGGGATTACCAAGTAGGGAAGTGACCCACCACAACAAACAGACTAAGGCCTAATTTATAAGAAAAGTTTGCGACGAGTTGACGACAACAGCATAATTGCCATCATCACACACAAATGGCGATAAGCAAAGAGGCTGACCAAGCTAGCAAGCATCCTCGAGCAGGCCATCGATTGTCGGGTCGACATTTTTCAGGTCGACTTTGAACAGCATCTGCAGTGCTTGCCTCTTGGACGAGTCAAGCGGCTCCTGGAAAGCCTGCCGGAAAGCGTTCAACACCTGAGTAGCCGGTTGCTGCTTGGGCGTTGCGGGATCCCACTTCAACAAGAGCACCTTCTGCGTTTGGAGGGTGGAGTTCGCGGCATGCAAGTGGCATTTGGCCGCGAGACGGCTGATGCGACAAAGTGAAGCTGATGATGGCAAGCGACGAGACCGACGTCGAGGCGGGGCCTTGAGGACCGGGGTTTGCAACAGTGTTGTGACGCGCCTTGCAAACTCCTGGGCGAGGGATGAAGGGGAACCTAGAAGCGTGACCTCCGACGACATCCTGGCCTTCCGTTCCTGGGCCTGCCGAGTCTGAGTCCGTGCCCGGTGCCGCGCCTTGCGACGCACAAGCACGACGCCCTTAGAGGACCCGTCCATCTCATCGAGACCCAAACACCAGCCAGACTGCTCAACGAACCGAAGGAGATGGCGAGCGTCGCGGCTTGCATCGGCCACCACCGTCGAACAGTCCTTGATCACTCCCTAGAAGTGATCCCAACAAGCCAAGTGAAGGGCCGGATGGGGAGCACGAGTGTAGCACTTGGGTTTTAAGAACAAAATTAGATATGCACCATATATGAGCACATGAAGTTAAATCTCACATATAGCTATAAATAAGGGTCATATCAAAAGACAATGCTCAATATATAACGTATTTAGTATAAATGATATAACCTTAGGTAATAAACAGTAGAAAGACAACTCCGATCTTTGGGTGAAGACTCTAATTCATAGGGACAACTGACTAGTTGATCACAAACCTAATTCCTTCAAACTCTAGCAATCTGGTACCCATCCGGAATTTTTTTTCTAAATATGTGAAAAATAAAGCAAACGTAAGTACATGTCGTTCTCAATAAATATAACATGGGGTTCACGAGGATCAAAAGGCTGACACTGGTTTAAGTGTGATTAGCTTTTATTGAGTCATGATTTTAGCGATAGGGCGGCAACAAAGTTTTGCACTCTGATCAGGTAAACATGAATAATAAATAGCATAAACAGTATTAATTAGTGAGCATCTTTATCATCAGTGTCATCAGTGTTCATCATCATTAACCATTAATGATCATCTATTCCGTAAATGTTCCAAGGCCGCTCGTGACCATGAGCACGGCAGATATACCAGTTTTACACTCTGCAGAGATTATACACTTTCACTGTGAGTCATGATTTACCCTTTCGTCCGAGGTAGCTAATCTCTTAACCCACTTCCAAGGAAGGTCGGCATGGTTCACTATAAAGCCTTTCAAAGGTTTATCTAACAAGTTAGGGCCATTAGATTCACTCGGCAAACAGATGTATAGCCCCCTTCCCGATGGCACAATGATGCGCAACCTATACACAAGGGGATAGATGCCGCACTATACCCAATTCATCAAGCCATTCTTATGCTAATAAAGGTAACCACTAACAAGCTAGAAAATGTCCTCGTACTAAGCTAAAGCCAGATCCATGTAGCCCTCACAGCTGTACTGTAAGTCCTGGATGATCACTTACAGATAAGTCCTTAGGAAGAGAAATCTAGAGCACCATAAAACAGCCCAATGCCGTTGCCCCCTTGGTTCCTTGTTGCTAAAAAGCATCATTTAGTATTTATTGCATATTCCATTAGTCAAGTTACAAGATCATGGTTGTAGTTGAGCACTAGCAAAGCTACCCAATGCAATAACCCAAAGATATCAAGGTACAAGTATAAAAGACTAGGATATCCTTAGTGATAGTCAAGGTAGACACATGTAGCATGAATTAAATGATTAAAGGTGTATAGGACAACAAGAAAGATCCCATGCTATACTTGTCTTAAACTTAGATTCTTCTTCTAGTCCAAACCTTCAAAGATCTTCTTCTCGATTCACCACGTATAGCTCACCGACTGGACATGATTATTGAGCACCAGACAAGCATCCATGTAATCATACATGAAGAAAATAATAGATCTAAATTAGTATAGTACACAAAACATAAAATCAAGATAAAAAGTTTATAAAACGAATCTACATCTCGCTACGAACATACAGACGCAAAAAACACTCTAATCGGAGCTATAACGAAATAGTTATGAATTAAACAAGATTTCCTTTAAAAATAATAGATTAAATCTAACCTTAAAATTCAAAAGTTGAAAATATATTTAACAGTAGGATGAACATATAGATTACTCAATTACGAATTTAACACAGCTTGAATGGATCAAAACGGAGTTAAAACGAAGATTTTATGACCTAAATAAGACTAGTGGCCAAACTGTAAATAAATGAAAGCGTATTTTGAATCTAACCGAAGAAACTACGTTTTCAAAAGAATAAAACGTATTTTGAATCTAACAGAGGGATTTTACATTTTCTGAAAGAGAAAACGTATTCTGAATCTACTAGAAAGAAACTACGCTTTTGGAATAGGAAAACGTATTTTAGAAGTGCGCCACAGAGGGATTTTACACTTTCTGAAAGAGAAAACGTATTCTGAATCTACTAGAAAGGAACTACGCTTTTAGAATAGGAAAACGTATTCTGGAAGTGCGCCATGGACTGCGGGTTATATTACGCGAAACTATAGGGGCTCCTTTACAAATAAGCCCGGTGAAGGGGTATGAGCGATTTTGGACCGTTGGATAGAATCTGGACGGCCCAGATTAGAAAGAAGGGGGAGAGAGAGTCACCGTCTAGAGAAGAAAACCGGCGCGGTGGAGCTCCATTACCAACGACGAGAAGCTCCTCGGAGCGCTTGGTTTGGGCCCTAGAGGCCACGGTTTGACGAGCCGAGAGCACAGATAATAAGAGGAGAAGACGACGAACTCACCTAGGGCCTTCTTGCAGTCGACGATGGGTCTACGACGTCGGGCAGTGCAGCGGCGAGAGGAGGAGAAAAATCTAATTTACTATACGAGGGATTTCCCAAACTAGGGGCTCCCCTTATGGTAGTTTTGATGTGCTTTGCCCAAGGGGTTGGTACATATATATAGGGAGAAAAACTTTCCACATCTACATCAACTAGCAATATGGTACTAATTGATTGTGCACCCTCCACATTTACTAGTGGACCTAAATAATCACTAAAGCTCATTAGTAAATAAATGCATGGGCCTTTGAGATTAATTAGAATTATTGCACATGGGTTTTGAGAGTTGGTTAAAAAATGAGATATATTATTTATTTTCAAAATTAATTAATTTCGCTAAAAATCATTCTAGAAAAGTTCAGAATTGATATTTAAGCCATCAAAAATAATCTAGGACCTCCGAAATTTTGGGGAAAATTCCCTGAGACATTTTACAACATGAGGAACCTAAATAAAGTATTTAGAGCTCATAAAAATATATTTAGGAGCATCTAAAAAATAGATTATGCTCATAGAAAAATAGGAAAAGGTTCTAGAACAAACCAGAAAAATTCCTAGGAAGTTTTGAGAGATAGGTTAATGAATGAGAAACTCAAAGGAATGATTTAGAGCAGATGAAGAGGATCTTGGAAAATTCTGAACGAAAAGATTAGGATCCAGAAAGCAGGAATTTGATTATAGAAAAAGATAGAGACGAGCCGGAGACAGATAAACGACTTACTAAACGCGTTTTGAAAATTTTACTCACTCATTACACCATGTCACACAACAAGCATACATCACATCAATCAAAACCCTTCAAATTAATTTGGAAAAGATTGAAAGTTCATTTTTTTCTATAACTAAATTTGCACTACCTTAAACTAAACTTGGGAAATTTTATATCAACATTGAAATTATTTATTTTATTTAGTGTTTTCTATGCACAACCCAAAATCAGAAATTTTGGGGTGTGACAACGAGTGACCAGAGAAGTTGACGACTAGTTAGCACCGACCGAGGCCCCCACTCCTAGAGACTTCTCGGGGACAACTAGCCCCTCTAAGCGCATGGGATCCCATCGCTCTTGGGTAGGCTCGAATGAGGTTCATAAACGATGGGGTTGCAGAAGTCTATAGGGATCCCGGCAAGGGGGTGGTGAGGCAGCTGGAGTGACACGAGCCACTCCACAACCATGCCCTAGGCCCGAAAGGGGCACCATCGCCCGTGGCGCCGCTACTGCCGCCAACAAAATGCGACGTGAAAGGGACCATGGTGCCTAAAAGGGCGGTGAATTAGGAAACTTAAAAATCTACTTCTAACTATGGCCTATAATTTTCACCTTAGCAAAACTATCCAAATGTGCAACTATGGTTTTACTAATATGTTGCTATCTCTACCGCAAAAGAGTTATGCAACCTAGGTTCCAATCCTATCAACTAAGTTAGGAAAGGTAAAGCACACAAGCTAGATTACAATATAAATGCGGAAGGTAAAAGAGCGATAGAGATGCAAACTCCCGTCGATGACTTGTATTTTTACCGAGGTATTGAGAAGCGCTCAAGTTCCCCTAGTCCTCGTTGGAGCCCCTCGCAAGGAATCCCTCACAAGGGCCAAGCTTCCGGTCGGGTAACTCCGTGGATAGCCACGGGCCTTCCCCACGCGCTAGTGGGTCTTCAGTGTGCCTTCTAGCAAGCCTCTCTTGGACCACTCCCCGCCGTCTTCACTATCAAGCTTTCGGCCGAAACGTCGTGGACCTTGTTCCCTCCGATACACGATGGCGGCCACACCACAAACGCGGTTGGTGTGGTCCCACAAGACTACAAGCCCTGCCGAGTACAAACACGGTGCGCGCAATCACCTTTGATCAAGAGGTATGCAAACCTCACTAGCAACTAAGCCTAATCCTAGAGCAAGCGCATAAGTGGTGGTCTATCTAGCCTGAGCATTTCGAAAAAAGCACCTACACTAATCACCATATGTATCACTAAGCACTATGCAATTGGAGAGCACTAAAATGGTGTAGCAACACCCCTAATATGTTTCCTTGCTCCTCCACACCTCATTTGGCCAGTTTGAGGTCCTATTTATAGCCCCAAGCAAAGATATGGCCGTTGGGGATAAGATCACCCTTTTCTGCGGACCGTCAGACCGTACTTTGATGGACTGTCAGACCATTGCTTCAGAGTCCGACACTTTCTATAGGTTACCATTGAAACTAGCTATTGCACTTCTAGGAGCGTCGGACCATCAAGCGAACGTCAGACCATTAGCGTCGGACTATATGGTGCCACTGTTCATTTGGGTTCAGGGAGCGTCGGACTACTATAGTGAACCATCAGACTAATTCGGTCAGGGTCCGACACTTAGTTTTCAGCATGACACACTTTCATGTTTTGGGCATAATTTTTAGCTCCAAGATCTGATTTTGGTGATCTTGGACTTTTTGGAAAGCTAATGAAAAGCTCTACAGCTTTGAACTAGTTTTGTGTCAATTTGAGTAGATCTAAGATCACGAGACAATTCCAATTCATTCACCTGTTTGTCTCGGCTTGAGT